GGTGCGGGGCTGCAGCTCTTTCTTTTGAGTTGATAGGAAAGAGAAAGCGGTTCCGACAGGTTTACACCGGCACCGGTCTGACACGCCGTTTACTTACAGGCGTGAAGTCTTTTTTCTGCCTTCTAAAAAAAAACAAAAAAATATTTAAAAACATCTTCCCTCGCCCTTTTCCGCACGGAAAGCTAAGTTATTATTATTTGGTTAAAACTATTAATATAGCCTTTTGCTGGAACCGTTATCAACTACGGTGACGTAGGAAAAAGAAAGCAGCTAAAAGCCAGAGAGCAAACCCATTGATGCTGTGCTGGAAACCGCAGGATGTCAAAAAGAGCCTCTTTTCAGAGAGACAGTGCGCTGGGCATTTCAGCCCTCCCTACACAAAATCTGTTTCGTCTGATCTGTTTCTCTGATCCATCTGAAAAACGCAAAAAGTAGAAGCCTACCGCCTCCGCTAGCTCACCCACACCCCTCTTTGCCTGAGAAGGTTTTGCAGCTAAAACAAGATCAATATTCTAATCTCTGACAATAATTTTATTAATATTTTATTTTTAAAATCTCATTTTGTTTCCGACAAGTCCTAGTTTGAGGTTGGTTCAGTTTGGATAGGGCGTCACCACATTATTTCTTAATGACTTTCCCAGCTGCTTCTTTCCATTTTCCACCATCAACAACCATCTGGTATCTTATTAGCACCTCAATGCTCATTTAGTGTTCTCATTTAGGAGAAAAAAGAAGTAAACACTCAAAATATTACACATTTTAACGGACGGTCTTTGGAAGATTAATGCCTCTGTAAACTGATAGATTATCTCTCTCAGTCTCTTTTTAACCCACAGATCGGAATCACGGAACTTTCTTCTGGGAAGTGCAAGAGCTGCCTTTTTTTTTTTTTTCTGCTGAGATTGTGCTTAATGTCACAGGGAAAAATCTTTCAAGGCCGTATTTCCTCTCTGTTTATTTAAAGCGTAAAGCGCTACAAATAATTCTATTTCCTAATCTATTATTTTTTTTCGGCTTCGGTAGGAGTGTATACCAAAGCACTGGAGCTCTTGATCCAATTTAGGAACAGGTTTGGACAGCAAAGTTATACACTAGGGAACTGTTGAGAAAACTTGTCCTTTTAACTTACAAAAAATTATTTTATAACGTAAGTGAAAGTGAGATCCATTTATGTTCGGAAAATGGATACTACAGAACAAGTTTGATTAATCAGAAATGAAAAAATAACTTCAATTTTACTATTCAAGAACCAGCGTCACTCTACTTCTTAAATTTACGTGTATGAAAAGGGAAGCTAGCAGCTTGTTTTTGACAAAATAGCTACAAGAGTCATTAAAAGTTTGGATTTGGTATTTTAAGTTTTAGTTACCCAGAGGCAAAGAGATTTGACTTTTTGGAAAGCAAATTATAAGTGTTTGAATACGATTGTAATATATGTAGAAGATCTGCAGCAACAGAATACATACCTGAAAGGAACTCATAATTTCATTTAGTTTATTAGACAAAAATATATGATTTAGACAAGTTTTGCTGACGCGCTATTTACAATCTGAAATCACTCTATATACAGAAAAAACACAAACACATGGGAAACATTTACCAAACAAATAATCCAAGAATGGTTAGAATAACACGATCTGAAATGGTACAATGACGAAGGGGATCCATCTACAGATTTGTGTAATCGCTTTTATGGATTTGCACCACCTTATTGCAAAAAGAGATTGATGGGAGTCGTTTATATCGCTTTCTTTTTTTTTTTTTTTTTTTTTTCCTCTGTCCTTAATACCAGTCTCTGTAATATTTTTTCACCAAACCATTTAATCAAGCGGATGGGAGAGCTGTTAAAATTCTCGGTGTTCCCTCTTGCTGAGCCAAAGAGCTGCAGGGGGGAAGGGGGGGGAAAAAAAAAAAAAAGACGTAACAATCTTTCAGAAAAACTGCTCAGTGAGATTATATTCTGCTCCCCCCCCTTTTCAAAAAAAAAAAAAAAAAAATAATCCTTTCCTGTAATTGCCTGTCTATTGCTATAACATCCTAGTATTAGTTAATTGCACAGAAATCATTGTCACTGGTTTAATTAACACAAGATCTTCGAGGTCTGTTAAGTTTCAAAAAAGTTACAGGCTGGCTATGTACAATTGTAATTTAGCCTAACTTTGAAAAGATTACAGCAACTTCTATGTTGTTCTTGTTGTCTGTATGTATTACTATGGTGATGATTAGGTGTTATAATTAGTCTTTATTATTCAAACACTTTGTTTCACATAAGTAACATTCCTGCAGTGAAAACAAACAAACAAACTCACTTGTCACGGACAGGCTGGAAGGGCGATTTTAACGGCTGAGGTGGGGATTCGGTTCTTGGTACATTTTCTCTTTCTAGAAGACAGAAAAAAAAAAAAAAAAAAAAAAGAAAAAAAAAACGAAAAACAAAACCATTTTAGAATACAACAACAAAAATCTGGACAGTGTGCAGAGAACACACCTCCCTCTCCCCGTCTTGTTCAGACATGTGTAGGTATATATGTGTATGTGAGCACAGTACTATTCCCTACTTTCAATAGGTAAGGAGTATGCAAGCTTTTCTTGACACACTTTGGACCGGCATTGAAATTATTTGGAGCTGAGGGTCAGGAAGGAGAGAAGGAAAGCACAACCCGAAGAGTATGTTTCACAGCGATGTTCCCGCATTCTCACCTTATTTGATGGGCACATAGGGTGAGAATGTAATAGCCCACATGAAATTGGCTTAATATATGCAATCAACATGCTCCAGGAAAAAAAAATAATAATCAATGCTATGATAAAGCATATGTAACTCCGTTAAAAGCAATCAGTTACACCACAGCTGGATCTGACACCATTCCTCAAGTTCATGTGTGTGTGTTGGGGGTGGAGGGAGAGGTGGATGCCTGATGCATTCATTACCTATGTGTTTGGGACTGGTCCTCTCTGAAGGTTTTTCACTGCTTAGGGCTCCCAGCGTTGCTGTTAAAACAGAAGGTTGTTGCTGGGCCTGGAGGTGGTGATTGTGATGAGCAGTGTGGTGGTGATTTACTCCCAAAAAGGACCTCACGTTTAGCAGGGAACTCTGAGTGAGGAAAGCCCCATTTGTCCAGTTGTGAAATTTGCCAATCTGGCACGTGTAGAGTCCATGACTAGGGAGAAAAGCGGGGTGCTGGATCTGTGGGGAAGTGTGGTTAACCTGGGGAGGAGGCGGTGGAGGGGGAGAAGATTTCAGGGCACCATCAGGGCTGGTTGCTGTCTCTGCCAAAGACCAAATCTTAGGTTTGCTGTGAGATGGCATCTGTAAATTGTTTGGTCCCCCAGGACTGATGATTCGCGTGCTGTTGTCAGAGGCCTCCTTCACCATGGCCAGTGCATCTTTGGGTTTCAGCCCTTCAGACCCTGACAGTGCCAAATCCTTTTCCTTTTCCAAATGCTCCTCTTCACTGCTTTGTCTCAGGAGTTCTGGCTTCTCCTCCTCTTCCTCGTTGCTCTGCTCCCCATCGTTCTCGTCGATTTTATCTATGTCTATGCTCTCCAGGTCGATTTCCTCATCGTCTTCGTTCTTCTCGGGATCCCCTTCATTGTCACTCCCGAAGAGGTTTGCATCTTCTTGGTCCTTACTCCTGGAGCCCCAGGTCACCTTGTTCTCCTTCTTGAGCCGCCGGCGGGCGTTGGCGAACCAGGTGGAGACCTGGGTGAGGGTCATCTTGGTGATGATGGCCAGCATGATCTTCTC